GGGACAGTGAATGGAAGGCAGGGAATGTAGTCAAAACCACATCAAAACAGTAGAGTCCTTGTTCACATATTTCAAGGTAAACTAAAATATATACTATACACACACACACACACACACACACACACACACACACACATGTACACCTTATATGACCAATAACATCAACACAACACACAATGATCACTTGCTAATTATCCCCTTTAGAATAATAAACAGAAATAATGCAGGCCTTGGTCCATATGCTGTCCATCAATAGGAGTCTCAATGAGAGCTAAGGATGTAGGTCCTCATACATATGTACACATAATGCATAGAGGACCTCTGAGGCCAAAAGACAGACAGAAAAACAAAGAAAGAACAGGCAGGAAAAAGAAAATACAGAAAAGTAAAACAAGACAAATATACAGAGAAAAAGAAAAACAGAAAGAAAAGAAACAGAAAGAGAAAAAGGGAGATAAGCTGGAAGAGTCACAGAGAGAAAGAAAAACAGAGGGAAAGACAAGGCATAGAGAATGAAAGGAACACAGAAGGAGGAAAGACAGAGATAGAAAGAAGTACAAAAAGACAGAGAGCGAAAGGAAGAAACATGGAGAAAAAGAAAAGGTAACTATCAGATGAAAGCCAGATGGGAAGAGAGACAGAAAAACAGAGAAAGAAAAAAAGACAGAAAAAGATGGGCAGAAAGAAAAACTAGAAATATAGAAAGAAAGACAGAAAAAGAAAGAATGACATGAAGAAAGCAATGCACAAAGAAACAGCAAGAGACACACACACAAAATGAAGAAAGACAATCAGAAGAGAAAGAAATGCATATTGAAAATAAAAAAAGACACAGAGACAGAAAGACAGAGAAATAAAAAGACAAAAGACTAAAAAGGCCACACAGAAATACACAGCAAGATATATAGAAATAAACAAATACACAAAGATACAAAGACAGGCTGAAAAGAAAACAAAACAAACAATGAAAGAAACAAAAGAATATGTAAGACAGAAAGACACAGAAAGACAAAAAAGAAAGTCACAAACAGAAAGTTACATAAAAAGAGAAAGATATACATGCATGCTTACATAAAAAGAAAAAATATACAGACAGAAAGAGAAGCCAAACAGCATACAGATAGACAGTGGGAAAAAACAAGCAAACACAGACATGCAGACAAAAAGACAAAAAGAGAGGGCACACAAATAAAAAGAGACACAAAGATATACATACAGATAGACAAATGACAGACACACTGACAAAAGACAAAAAGATGGATACGTGAAAAGACAACTAATAGAAAGAAAAAATAGAAAGACAAAAAGTCATACAGACAGGCAGAGATAATCAGAAAGAGACAGATACAGATAGAAACAGAAAGAAACATAAGATAAAAAGGCATGCAGGCACAGGTAGAAAAAAACAGAAAGAAAAATAAAATAAGAAGACATACAGACACACAGAAAGACAATGCCAGAAGGACAGAAAATTAGGAAGAATGATAAAAGTCAAGAAAGCAAACAGAAAGTCATGAAGAAGAAAGGAAGTAAGGAAAGTTGGAAGGAAAGAAGGAAGAAAGGAAGACTGAGGGAAAGACAGAACAACACATGGGCAGAAAAAGAGGAAGGCAGGAAAGACTGACAAAAGACAAAAATAAAGGAGCAATTGAAAGACAGCTAGCAAGATAGACAAGTAGAGAAACAGAAAAGCCAACAGAAGGACAGAAAGTAGGAAGACAGAAAGAATAGAAAGAAAAATGAATGGACAGAAAAACAAAAAGCCATATATGGAGTGCATACATAGAGAAACAGGAAAAAAAAAACCAAGGCCGAAAAGAAAGGAAAACATTCAAACAGAAAAGCATGAAACTAGGAAGAAAGAAATATAGAAACAATAACACAAAGCTAGAAGGAAAACCAACAGAAAGACATTTGCAAAAGGAAAAAAATTATTCACCTTTCCTTTCAGAGGGTTGCAATGGAAAGAAATTAAATTCCCAGAGCAAACATTCCAATGAGCACGTGCAGGCAATGGTGAGTGAAAGCGTGTGTTTCATTCATTTCTATCTATTGAAAAGGCTATGACCAAGGGCTAAACTTTGGATTATAGTGCTTGCTCATTTTAGTTGAATTCACTGAACTTCACATTAAAGTAAATGAAATTTCACATTTCCAATTATCCCTTAACACAAAGTAACTCGAGTGCTGAGTGTGTACTGTCCCGCAGCCCAGAACCTTAGATTGCCATGTGAATTCTGCTCCCTTGGTTTTAGGAGTGACTCTGGTAGTCTAGCCACTGAGGTCCTATTAAGTAGCAGCTATAGCTAATATCACTGGACACTGAACACTGAACCTGATCTATCATCATCCCCCCTTTAAATCCTGAGAATAGTTCTGATGTAGGTAGTAATTATCCCAATTTTCCAGATGAAAAAACATGCAGAGGAGTTAAGTAACCAAAAAAATACACAGAGAGTAGCAGCAGTGGGTACATCAAACTTAGTCATGATTTTAACCACTGGACTGTAGTTTTTCAGGGCACTACTGTGTATCTGTGTATGTGTTCAGGCACTTAAGGCTGCTAGATTTCTTAGCCAGAACATAAGCCTATACACTGAAGTAGTTCCAGTATAGACTTTAGAGAATTGTTAAACAGCCCAATGTTTACTTGTGCTTCTAGTAATAAGCCAGATGCCTAAGGATGGTTAACACAAATTCAGAACAGTCTCTTCCTTTTGCTGCCAGGATACAAGTACAAGCTCCTTCTCCAAACCTGATTTCAGGAACGATTTCTGGCTCATCTGCTGACAAGAGCACTACTGCCCTGTTTATCTTAGCATTACTCATTCTTGTTTTGCTAGTCCTTGTCATTCTTGCTTTTGGTTTTTTTTTTATAATTTATTCCTGCTGTTGTTATTGCTTGCTTTCTATGTCATTTCCTGTTATTACATCCCAAACTCAAGTCTTTCCATCTAACCCAGGACTCTGGTATAGCCACTTCTTTTTCTAGCTGCAATAATTCTATTTGTTCTCAGAATTAGAACAATTTCTTTCCACTATACTTTGAACTTGTATTGTCAGGATCTGGGCTCAGTATGACAATAGGAAATGGAGGGAATGTTGCAGGGAGGCGTCCGTGCTCACTACTCATTTAGTATTACCACAGTGCAAGCCTACCAGTTAACTCTCCTGCCCTACTATGTCCACCAATTTTCTAGACTTTCTTCACTAACTCTCTACCATTTCTTTTTCCTGCAGATGGTTGGAAATCTGTGGAACCATATTACAATAAGCAGTTCTATGTCTGAAATGTACTGCTTAGAATACTGGATCCCAGTGCAATGTTGTTCTCTTCCATTAATGGAACATTATGTGTATGCTGTTTTATGTACTTGGAGGTGGGACAGTTGCACATCATTATGCCATACTGTAGATATAAGGGCATTTGCTTCACCAGCTAATGCGCTTCACGGTGTGTGAGGGTGTACCAACTCAGGGATTATATTATGGGATGTGAAGGATATTCTCAGCTCACTGAAGGACCAAAACAGCTCCAAGGGACAGTAGTCTCTAGACAAGATCCTAGCTATTTAACATACATCTCTAATCTCAGAGACATGTTATTTGATGATTAACCTTGGGAGTAAATTGGGTCTTGGTGAAGTGATTATTAAATGAAACAGTCTCTTTTGAAAATGGAATGCTTATGAATGGCGGCAGTGGCTTGATTATATGGAACACATTAGCATATTAATAAGAGTATAATATAGTAGGCCCTAGGGATCATTCTGGAAGTTGGGAAATCAATGTTCACATGAGAAATTACCAAGAACATAGAATATATTTGAACTAGAATTCAGGGATAAGTATCATGACTATGTCATAGTGTGCAGTGTATAAAATATAGGTAAGTGTTCCCTACTTTTCCATGAATTAAAATACAGCAAATGCATCCTCACCAGACATCAAATCTGCTGGCAGCTTGATCTTGGACTTCACATCCTCCAGAACTGTTAGCAATAATTTCCTATTATTTCTGACATACCCAGGCTAAGGTATTTTGTTACAAGTACATATGGGTGAAATGTCAGTTTCCAACTTGGCAAATATGTGTTAAGATTCATCAATTAGTATAAAAAATGTTTAGTGAGCACCATTGGTGAACTCCAAGCCCCTGCTGTCTGGACTGAAGATGCACAGACACACAGACACAGAAGAACAAGGATGCCCTTTAGAGGCTTTTGTGTAAGGTAGGGAGTGAAACACGGAGACGTATAGGAAAATAATAGGACTGTTCAGCACGTGTTATCAGTTATCTCCAAATCTCAATCAATCCAACCAAAGTCTATTTCTCAGTCATATTAAGTCTCCTGAGGTTCTAGACAATTCTCAAGGGTACTTGTTCTCTCATCATTCTGGACTGAAAATATCACCCAATGAATGCTTTCATGATCACTAAGGCATAGAGAGTCTTGTAGTACACATGAATTGTTCCAGCCATGACTTCTTCCCACAAGGGTAACCAGTCACCCAAACCTTCTCTATTTTAGGTGGGTAGGGGAATGAGAACATTCTAGGTTCCAAGAAGTAGAAGACAGTTGGATTTCATATGTGTAACCCATTTAGTGCTTTTAAGAAGTCATTGTGAGAACACAGCAGGTGTGAGTGTCAGGCATGTCTAAATCTTGTTGCTTAGGGATTCTGCTGTCATTCTCCATGCTGTCTAAAAGGACAGAGCCAGGACTGGGAGGATGGCTAAAGTGGTGCAGTGCCTGTCTGGGAAGCAGAGGCCCTGAGTTCAAACCCTAGTACCACGGAAAATAAATTAGAAAAAAAAGATTTTATAGCTAGTCTTAGCACTCTCTGTGAAGGAATAGTACAGATGAGAAGTTTTTGAAGAGGTTTTCCTGTGACTCACCAGTAGCATGTGGGCTGAAATTTAGATTACTGCGTTGGACTCTCTGACCTATGGCAACATTCTTTCATGACACATTGCTTTTCTGCTTTATCCCACTCAGATACAGTGACTGAAGTGAAGACTGACATCTATGTGACCAGTTTTGGCCCCGTGTCAGACACAGACATGGTAAGTAGAAGGACTGTATTGGGATAAAACTGACCCACAAAGAAAGTTGGGGTTTTCTGCAGCAGAATCTTGTAGTTGTGTTCTAAGAAAACATTGTGTGCCGTATGAATTCCTTACTCCCACTACTTTATATTTGATAAGTGCATCTTGTCCTTGCTCTGCCAATCTGTAGTAATCACATACCCTCCCTTCCACAACACATCATTAAACCCTTAGCTTGGCTCCCTATCTGTTATTAAAGCCTGTTTGACCACTCCTTTCACACTTCACAAGCATCACACCGATAGGCCAAGAGAAGAAAGCATTGTGGTGGGGTTTCTTGCTCAAGTATCCAAGGGTGTTTTTATCCAAGAAGTCTGTTCATGGCAGTTGTGCTCCATTCACTGAGAATATAGACTGGCAAGAATGATGCAAAGAGTTCGCGTTGGAACTACTTCTGGAAGCTTGTCCATTATAAATATGTGCAGGGAGAGAGCTTCAGGCAAGACTGGAGCTTTGAGGCTATTTGCACAGATTATCCCTTCTCTCACTATTTTCTTTTGATTCCAAAGCAAAGAATGCAATGGAAAGTTGGGATAGGGATGTTCACCCTAGTAGAGCACCTATCAATAACTACTGAATATCAGATACTCGATGTAATCAGGTAGCAAAGCAAAGACGCTATTGTCTGCTTTGTATGTCTGGGACTTATTAGATGCTTAGCAATTTTTGGTTGAATTAGTTACTCTGTGTTGAGAATAAACTTCTCAATTTCTGGGAGAAGAAATTCAAAGAGTATGGAATGTGTTTGTTCATGACTTACGTCTTTTTTGGATGTCTGTTTTCAGTGGCCAGTGTATGGCTGGGAATGCGAATGGGATGATGAAAGTGCACAATTGTTGTTTTTAATTTTTTTTTAATTGTAAAGATACTGTACAGAGGGGTTACAGTTACATGAGTAAGGTAATGAGTACATTTCCTATCAAGCGTTATTACCTCCTCCTTTGTTTTACCCCTATCATCCCTTCCCTCTCCACCTCCCTAACGCTCCCCTATCCCCACACCACAGTTGTAAAGTTAGTTTTCAACATAGTATCTTGTACCTCTCATTGTTACAATGGGTCAACCTCTATGCTTCTTTCAGCATTTTGTTATTTCCCTTCCCCTCCCCAAATTAGAAAAATGTATATGTAAGATACAGGGCACTGATGTCAAATGCAGTGAAAACAAGGGGTATATGTGGGGGAAGAACATAGAAGAGAAACAAAATAATTACATAGTACAACTTTTTTTCTTGCTTGCTATTGGTTTTGTATCTAAAACACAATTGTTTTTTTAGAATGATTTAGCTAATGTTTTTTATGGATTTTTTTTTTTTTGGTCGGTCGTGGAGCTTGAACTCTGGGCCTGGGCGCTGTCCCTATGCTCTTCAGCTCAAGGCGAGAGCTCTACTGCTTGAGCCATAGCACCACTTCCTGTTTTCTAGTGGTGTATTTGAGATAAGCGTCTTACGGTCTCTCCTGCCCGGGCTGGCTTTGAACCATGATCCTCAGATCTCAGCCTCCTGAGTAGCTCGGATTACAAACATGAGCCACCGGGGCCCAGCTTAGCTAATGGTTTTTGAAGAATGGACAGGAAGGTGAGACATGGCAGCTGAAAGTTGATTTAGGCATGTTGATTTTACATTCAAGGTAAGGTTTAGTAGTCAGTGGAAGAAGAAAGCTATTTCTGAAGAAAAGGAAGTCATCAGTAGGTGAATGGTTGAAAGGCCTGGCAGGGGGAAGGGAGAGGGCTGAACTTTACTTTTAAGTGTAGAATAAATAGGATACAATAGATTCCCTGTGAACTCCTTGAGGGCAGGTAGGTACTAAGACTTCTCGGCTTGTCATGGCATGTAGGGAGAGCTCAGTAAGGGGCATTTTTGATGTATGAGAAATAGAAAGGTTTCTCTACTTCTCCTTCTCTCTCTGTCTCTTCAGTTGTACTGGAGATTAAACCCAAGGCCTCATGTTGCTAGGCAAATACTTTACCACTTGAGCTGTGCTTCTTAAGAGAGCCGGAAGAAAGCTCTTGTAAAGGCAGGAAGGAGGGCTGTATATCTGACTGTCTTCTTTAAACCTATCTACTGTTTCAAAGCCAGGCCTACATTACAGCTATGATTACTTCTTAGGAGGCCAGTGCTACACACACATGGCTCACAGACCCCGATATACAGACAGCTGACAGTCATGGAGAATAGTCAGTCATTAGAGATAATCAGCTCTTTCCTTATATTGCTGGGCATTAATGATGGATTAGGATTGTTATGCTACCAAAACTATATTCTTTGCACACACAGACACATACATATACACAAAACACACTCATTTTCACGGACCTACCAATATTTAGAAATATATTCAGACAAATGTACACATACTCAAGTGTATGTGGAGCGCACGCAGCCTGCATGCTATCTCGCATGTTCTTTGACACAGACACATGATTATGTCCCTAAACCCAAGGATACCAATGAAACACACAGTCCCTATCCCAACCAGCTCTTCTCCTTGCTCTGGAAGATGTTTTTCAGAATCTCAAATTTCTCTGTTTTTCTTGGAAGATTCATGTTTCACTTGCTTGTTTGTATATTATTCCCTCATGCTTAAGCAACAGAAAAGATCTTTCTTGATAGGGATAGAACATTTTTGTCAAATAACTTTCATGTTATTTTTAGCTGCATTTCTCTCCATTTGCAAGGCAGAATAGCTACAATTACCGTGGCTGAAAAACACATTTCTGGTGTTTTTAAGTTTCTTCCTCCTGTTCTTAGTAATTTGGAGCAATTGACCCCAGGGTCAGGGATGACTTTGGATGAAGACTCATTTGAGACATAGATTGCTTAGAAAAGTAGATGAAAATTAAGGCTTGCTGGGTATTGATTCATTTCTAACCAAAGTAGGAATTTTAGTGCAAAATACTTTTCTAAGAAAATAGTTTTTCTTTAACAAAGTAGGAAAAATGTAAGACCAGGTTGAGCAATGATTCAGGACTACCATAATCCTTTTCACTTGTTGCTTTCACTGGTGAAAAACTGACCCTCACAGACACAGCTCTTTGGTTGAACAAGAAAGAAAATCAAAATTATAAAGTAGATCTATGTTGTTCAATTTAGTACCAATTTTTGGCACATGATACATTCCCAAATATTGGTTAATTTCAAGAATGAGTGAAAGGAGGAGAAAACAATGCTTGTTAAGAAATGTACTCATTGTCTTGCCCATGTAATTGTAACCCCTCTATATGGTATTTTCACAATAAAAAAGAATGAGTGAGATATAATAAATTAAATGTCAGAGACAAATTGATTTACAGATCTTCAAAGGCAGAAAGCATGTCAGATACATCTCCACATCTCCAGCTCCTAGAGGCAAATCTGACACAGGCCTTTGCTCGGTCTGTATTTGTTGGGTGATGGGAAATGCTAGTGGCAACTCCTTCAGATATATTCCAGTTTGAGTGAATGGAGACCAAAGGGCCTTCTATAACTACTGACTTCTAAGTGAGCCAAGACAGTTTTTTGGTCAATGCATGAAATGCTAGTAGCGACATTTCAACAAGATGGAAGTTGTGAAAGATTTTGTATGAATGTAGTTTTGTTTCCATTTTCTAAATTTGGTCTCTTTGTCCATCCCTTACTAGTGAAAATAAGGCTGTTGGTGAGGGGGATTATTTTTTGTAGTCTTCCAAGAGCCATTGCGCTACCATGGGGGAAACTGGATGAGGACAGAAAACTAAGAAACTTTGAATGACAATTTTAGTTCTTGTTAACCCTGCCCTGTGTTTGGAAATACTTTAAGTGCTCCAGTTATGCCAAGGTATCAAGTGCCCCCCAGAAACTGTCAACAGAGAAACTTCCCAAGGAAAAGAGTGGACAACTAAGTACTGATACCAGCAGATAATGCAATAAAAGAATTAACTACCTAGCTTAATGAGAAGAATAAAATGGATACATGGGAAATGAGAACCCATAAAAGACATTATAGTCATAATTCTTTGTAACAGATTCAGGAACCGTACATTCTGGTCTGAAAATTGCTTATGAAAATCATGCAAAAACAGCCAAGCCCTATACACAAAAGTATGTGCTAATTAAAAAGGAAATACCACAGGGACCCCTCTCCTGGTGGCAATGTATTTAAAGCTATTCGATGTTTTCTCTCTAGGGCTGGGGAGAGTGTTTTTCTCAATGTGAAAGCCTCTGTTTCTGACTGTCTGGGGCATAGAATGGATTGGTATATTTTGAAATCTTCATAGGCTGTCAGGTTTCTCTTGTATTTCCAGTTGTAATATAGCAAGGGGTCCATATACATGGGTTTCTTCCAGATACTTTCATACAACAGAGAAAGGACATAGAAACAGTGTGAATAAGAGTAGCTGCATTTGAAAGAATGGTATGAATAATGATGAGTCTCCTAAATGAAGAATGATGGAGCTAAAGCAAAGGGCTGACAGAAGCAGAGATGCCCAAAACAGAGGGAGGGGCCTGCAAAAGAGAAAATCACGTGATAACACAGTTGTCAGTTATGCTGCCCCCCCCACTAAAACACTTAAGACTTGCATGTCTTTTCTGAGATTTCCTTTGACATACTTAGTATTGTTGGAGAGTTGAAGCCATTAAGCTCTAAGTCTAAGGCAGAAATACTTCACCACCAGCTAAGTGTCTTCTTTGCCCTGTGTTACAGATGTATTCAGTGCCTTTCCCAGGAGGCAGGCTTAGGCGTATTAACTGGAAGATTTGATTTAAATGCCTCACAAAACAACAGAATTCATTTGTCAAGTTAGAGGCAATCATCCTTGGAAAGTACACAAGGGCTCAATTTGCAAGGAAGGAATTGATTATATTTCTAGGATGGTCAGGTCAAAATCTGATTACATTTGGCCAAAGGTCATAGGATAATACTTATACACCAAATAGTCTCTGCAAGATTTTCTCTAGTAAATTTTTTTCTTTTTCTTTTTCTTTTTTTGTGCCCTAAGAATTGAACTCAGGGCTTGGGTGCTGTCCATGAACCTTTTGGCTCAAGGCTAGTGCTCTACCACTTGAGCCCCAGCTCCACTTCTGGCTTTTTTGGGTGGTTGATTGGAGATGAGTTTCCTAACCTTTCCTGCCCAATCTAGCTTATAGAATATAGTTGTATCATTAATCCTTAGCTATACAAGTAGCTGATTTTGAGTTTTCTCTCCTTTTTCATGCTGGGGCTTAATACATGCCATGCACATGTTCTATCACTGAGCTAACCCTGCCCCTTATGGGTTCCTTTCCCCCACTTCCCCCCACCATTTTCTTTTTTTTATTTCTTTTTTATTTTTATTTATTTATTTTTAAATTTTATTTATTTATTTATTTTTTTATTGTGAGAATACCGTACCGAGGAGTTACAATTGCATGGGCAAAATAATGAGTACATTTCTTTTTTTTTTTTGTCTTTTCTTTTTGTTACTGGGGATCGAACCCAGGACGTTGCACTTGCTAGGCAAGTGCTTTGCCACTGAGCTACATCCCAGCCCACGAGTACATTTCTTATCAAGCATTGTTGCCTCCTCTTTGTTTCCCCTTCCCATCCCTTCCCAAACTACCCCCCACCCGATCCTCCCTCCATCCCCCACCAAAGTTGTAAAGCTCGTTTTTCAACATAATGACTTGTACATCTCATTGTTGCAATGGGTCCACCTGTATCCCTAGTTAAACGATTTGTTTTTTCCCTTCCCCTCCACAAATTATACCAACATCAAATACAGTGAAAGCATGGAGGAGGGATGTACAAAGCAACAAAGAAATCATCTTATAAATATGTTAGAAACAGTTGCAAGCAAGAAAAAAAACATTTGAGTCCTTATCTTGGGCTTCATTTTGCCTAACACCAACTTATCCGACCTTTTCTGCTTGTCTCAGACATATACTAGTTATTGCAAATAAGGGAAACCATGGGACCTATGTTTCTTTGGGCCTGGCTTACCTCACTTAATATAATTTTTTTCTAAGTCTTTCCATTACTAACAACCCCCCCCCATTTTCTTACCTTTTATAAAGACACGTTTTATATGTTTCAATTTGCTTGTAATTATTTTGCTTTTTACATTCTTGTTCTATTATATTTTTCAGAGATTACCTTAATCGTTGTAATATACACTTGACCTTGTCTAATGCGACTTGGCACCTCCACACTAATTCCAAATAATACATGAATGCATTATGTATTATGTATCACTCAAATGTTCTTCCTCCGTCTTTCCATTTAGATCAGTCTAAGTACTTATTCCATATTATTTTTTAATTTGTAGAGACCCATTATCTGTTTAGTTGATCCATACCCGTGTTAGTAGTTACGCTTGCAAATACTTGCTAGCATCACTTTCAACTACATAAACAAATTTTCTTGCCAGTGCTTTTTTTGAGGAATCATTCAATCATTTACTTTTTCAGTAATGTCTGGAGAGGCTCTATTTCATATTTGGTAGCATTTTAAATACCAAAGTTATCACAATAAACAGAAAAAAGTCCATGCTCGGCTTCCAGGCTAGAGAAACAAAACCCCTCTGTGTGTGTGTGTGTGTGTGTGTGTGTGTGTGTGTGTGTATGTCTTATAAAGAAGAAAACCAATCCAGTGTTATGGGAGTAAGAAATATGATATAGTGATCAGACAGTGTCCCTTCATTTAGTGACTTTACAATGGAACCTAGCCATTTCGAGTGTCACCCAGCTAGCTATGAGGAAATTGAGGGTAAGAATCAGGAGACATTACTGGGAAATTATGTGTTTTTGTAGCACTTAAATGATCATCTATTTAGCTATAGAATTCTGAGTTGACAGTTATTTTCATCTTAACATTTTTGAGATGCATTCTCACTGGGTTTTTGGTTTCTATTGTTACTTTAAAGAAGTCTGCTATTAATCAGATTTATCCTACTTTTTTATATTTGTTCATAATCTTTCTCTTTGGTACTTTTGGGTCATCTCTATTCTGGCTTGGCTTAGACTTATTCTAATATGTTGAGCTTGCAAGTCATTATGGTTACTGAAGTTGAAATGCATATATTTCATAATTTCTGTTACAGTTCATCTATTGACACGTCTATTGTTGTTCCACCTCCACATTCTCTATTCTCTCACATTTAAAATCTTCATAGATGTATTCCAAAGCTTTTCCTGTCATCCTTCATAAAAGGATGAGACTTAGCTTCTCTCAAACTGTCTATCATTTACTTGTCTGAAATGTAAACTGAGCAATTTTTCCTTATGTTAGTATAGTCCAAGTAATTAATCTCTCTCTAGTAATGTCTAGTTCACTATCAATAATTTATTTCCAGTGGATCTCTTTTTTTCAGATGTGCTTTTTATGTCTGTTTTTAACTGTTGAGTTTTTAATTGCATGTTTTCCATCATCTCTATTTGATAATTGTGTTCCTGGCGGGAGTTTAATCTGACTGTATGTTGTGTCAGCTTTCTCCATAACAATTTCTTTTGTTATTGTGGATTGTGAGCCTATTTTCAGCAAGCATTTATTTGTGGTTATGGCCTTTCGGGGTGTTTCTGTGTTTGTTTTTGCAACTTAATTTTGTGATCTCCCCTGACAGAGACAGAATTTTTTATGTGAATTTCTTAGTTTGACAAATCAGGCAGACAAGGTACATTTGGACATCAATCTTCCATACAATAAGGCTCAGCTTTACTAAATCTTGTTAGAAATGTTTTCCCTTTCCTGACTCCCCCTTCCTTCTTGAACTTTTGTGTTGTGGGATGAGTTTGTCTAGTTAATTTTATCTAGTGCCCCTTTTTCCTGAGGCTGTACCCTTTCAGGATCTTGGCTTTATGTGGGAGTCTAGTTCCAGTCTCTCAGCTGGCAGTGACCTGGTTTACACCTGATGTCCTGGTTATTTATAAAGTCTTCTCTCTCTAAAGTATTCCACTTTAGACAATAAATTATAAGATCTTTCAATCTTTAGACATGAATTTTGTTGGTATGCTAGAGGAATAGGAAAGCCAGACTAGCTAATTTATAGTAGGAGAAGTGTTTGGAGAAGCTCTCATAAAAGAACACAAGAGATTATGACAGGAAAGAGTTTGTTCTGGATATGATCAGATGCCATTGGAGGATTTTAAACCAAATGATTTGAAGTAATTTCTGTCTACATCTTTATTTTTAATTATTTTTTATTATTTATAAGTAGTTGTACAAAGGGATTACCATTCAACATGTTAATTTATGAGTACAAAGTGATTTTGTTGTGATGTTTTCACATATGCATATAATTTGCTTCGGTAAAGTTTGCCCCCTCTATTAAGAATTTTTACCCCTTTTCTCCACATCCCTTGTATTTGGCAGTTCTTTGGAGGTTTCATTATTGGGTTGTTATACATACGCATAACATACTTTGATTATCTTCAGCTCTCCTTCACTTTCCTCTAATCACTCTCACTAATTCCTCCCTCCTCTAGACCCTTTTTTTACATTCATGTCTTTTTCCTTCTTCTCTTCCTCCTTCTTTACCTCCTTCTCCTCCTCTGGTCTAGATTCTACATAATGTATTTTCTTTTAGTGGACTACTGTTCTCTTCTTTGCACCTGCTTTTTCTGGACCCAAAGAGCTTTTCATTTTTGCATAATACAGTGGTCAGCAAGGATTTGAAGCAAGTCTATCAGTTCTATGATTCTAGGACTCTGTCCCTTAATATTGTAAGTTACATGTTAACTTGAGCCACTAAGGTTGTTATCCATATCAGAAAAATTCTAGGTTTGAGGATCATGTTTGGGAAAGAAAAGCCCCACACTCACAGTTTTAACCTATTGCTGCTGCCGCTTCCAAGTATAATCCCCAAGTTTCTGTCTGCTTTCAGTCACTTCCCTCTGCTTTCAAGTAATATACACAAAATGTTTCAGATTGTGTAGTTTATGGCGTCAGGACGATGTGCTATCACAGAAATGCAGATGTTATTTTTTCTAATTTATGTTTAGATTAGCAGTAAATATGAAAATTTTCTTTTTGTGAATAATTTTATCTAATTAATTTTATATTTATGTTTCTTTTCATCTAATGTATCAGTAAGATTTAATTACATATTGAGGACAATAAAATCTTACTTCAACAAACATTTGTGTAAAATGTAAGACATGTTTGCTGTTATATTGTCCTTTGATAGTCATGTGACATCATTGGGCATTAAAGACAAATCTCTTGTCTTTTCTTTTGTTGTTGTTGGTTGTGGGGTTTGAAGTCAGGGCCAGGTATCTGTCCCTGAGCTCTTTTGTTTAAGGCTAGTGCTATACCACTTGAGCCACAGTGCCACTTCCAGGTTTTGAATAGTTAATTGGAAATAAGAGTCACATGGGGACTTTTCTGCCTAGGCTGGTTGTGAACCATGATCCTCAGATCTCAGCCTCCTGAGTAGCTGGGATTACAGGCATGAGCCACTGGCACCCAGTGGGGTTTGTTATTAATAGATAATTCACAGCATTAAGAAGGGAGCTTCTGCTTTATGAAGCAAAATCTTGGGCTGTCTTGGATTATTTGTGGGGAAGTTTTGGCAGTGCCCTTTCTAATAATAGTGCTATCGAATATATTTTCTTCTTACTTATTATTAAGAAGGTGATTTTTTTCAGTTATAATCATTGCCCTTACTCATGTCCTTCTACATACCAATGTACTGCATGCTAATTAATACTTGCTAGGAGAACTGTGAAACATTAATAGAACCCTTCTGAACCATTATTCTCTCTATTTTGTCCCTAGGAGTATACCATTGATGTATTTTTTCGTCAGACATGGCATGATGAAAGACTGAAATTTGATGGACCCATGAAGATACTTCCACTCAACAATCTCCTGGCTAGCAAAATCTGGACTCCAGACACCTTCTTTCACAATGGCAAGAAATCGGTGGCTCATAATATGACCACACCTAATAAGCTTCTCAGACTTGTGGACAACGGGACTCTCCTCTACACAATGAGGTCAGAGATTGGTGGTCCCTATCTAGAGTATATTGAGGGCAGGACTATTATTTGAAGCAGCAAGTTTTATGGTAGCTGCTGACAATTCCTTTAAGTTTATATGATTATAAATTTTTGTGTAAGTTTGTACTTGTATACACACATATTTATGTACATACATACATTACTTCAATTCATATATTACTTCAATGCTTTATAATATTCTTTTAGGCTTATAGATTTGTACATTACATACATTTTTACATATAAATTATATAAATATAAAACATTGTTTTAAGTATAAATTTGTTTATGTATGCATTTATATATTATTTGCACTTATATATTATTTCAAGAGTACTTATATACATGCATATGAACATGTATACAATTACACACATATATACACTTAACACATTTTTACTCATATAGACATATTATGGAAATGCACACACATATTTATGAACAGATAGTTATACATTTGAACACTTTGTAACACCCACTGACATATATTCATGTTGTGTAAACATGTGCATACTCAAAGATACACATAGACCAATACAGTGGCACATACATTTTCAAGAATACTTAAAAATACAAACTTACAATGCTTTGTTCATCAAAATAGGATTTGAATTTTTATTTCAAAAGGTGAACTTTTAACATCATTTTGGGGCTTGGCGGCATGGCTCAGGTGGTATGATGCCTGCTAATGAGCGTAAAGCATGTTTGAATTTGAGTCCTGTCTCAGACTAAAAACAACAAGAATAAGAACAAAGGAACAGCGCAAATTTTGGAATTGTTAGTATGTACAGATAAATTGAAACCATAAGAATGAGTGTGAACAGTTCTAGAAAGGGTGGAATAAAAAGAAAATCCAGTCATGCATGCACTGCTATCATTAAGACAGAGGAGGACACAAAGGAACTAAAGAATGAAACAGAATATAAAACCAGGGAGATACAAAGGGGACTACTATTGCATGTCCCAGTTTACCTCCTTTTGGGCACATGCTTATATGGTACTTCTATAAAGTCTTAAAGTTATGCATGGACAGACTTGTTCGGTTAATCAAAGGTGAGCATAAATAGCATGTGTCAGTTATAAGGGAGGATGAGTCTTTAAGAGCCAGTATCTGATTTACCATGTTGCCTTCCTCTGGCCGTGACAATCCCATTGGCTATCAACTCAATTGACAAACACCAAGGGAATTAGCAAATCACACCTCTAAGGATGTATGTGAGGGCATTTACAGAAAATTTAACTAAGAAGAAAGGCTTACTGCGAATACTGTCCCAGAAGCTGGGAATCCGGGGAATGGAACACTCGCACAGCACAGGCATTCTCTCTCTCTGCTTCCTGGTAGCCATGATGTGACAAGATCTTTGATTCATCATTTCGTGACTCTTACTATGGTTACACAAAAATGAGCTCCCTGGCTCACCAAGTTCACATGGCAGATAATGTGCTGTAAGACATTGAGAATTTAGGATTATTTCTTACTGCATGCAAATTTAGGTTTAAAGATTCATATGTCATATGACTAATAAAAATCATTTGTCTTGATTGCTATACCAATGGATTAGTTTAAAAAATGAGAATGAGAAATAGTAATACTAATATAGCATAATTAGTACATAATTAACATCAACATAGTATTTACAATGTTCAAGACACTATTCAATTATTCTATTTTGTTGCCTTCATAACAAGTTCATGAGAAAGCTTACACAGTAAAAAAAAAAAAAGAAAAAGAAAAAGAAAAACCCTGTTTAATATAAAAGATCTATGGGCAAAAGTAAAGTTTGCCTTTGTTTTCAGGGAAGAGACTACTGTATATTTTCCAGATAGCAGAAAAGAGCAGCTAGTAGAAATATAAAGGTTAAATACATAAGCAGAAATATTGTTTGTTAACAGTAATTTTCCAGATTAAAAAAATAAATGATGACATCAAAATTTGTTAGAATTTTACTTATAAAGAAAGAGGGACATCTGTTATTGTGCTGCATGAAAGGAAGTAATGTGGAAAGTACATAATATAAAAAGGAAAATATGGAAAGAATAGAGCACTAGTAGGAGAATAATCAGAAGAGTACTATGCATTTATTTAAGTACTGACTGAAATAGAAGATGTGGAGAGGTGGCAGTTCACATAGTTGTGTAAAAAATAGACTAGACTAAGTTGAAACAGAAGAAAGGATTGTGGAATGAGATGGATGCAGGAACTGAATGATGAAGAAGTTATATTGGTGGTAAAAGACAGTAAGCAATGGTAAAGAAGTTAAGAGAGAGTGATGGGCAAGACAATTAATAGAAGAGAAAGAATAGAAGTTAAATAAGAGAAACAGTACATAGGGGAAACTGAGTAATAAAAGAGAAAAGGTAGAGGATAGGTTTGAGTTTGGGAGTAACATTACATAAAGGCGGGGAATGGGAGAGGATAGATGATACTGAAACATGAAAAAGAAGAGATGAACACACATGCCCAATGGGACAGAGGATGAAGCTGAGCAAATGATTAGTCATTTGAAAATACAGCTGAATGAATAGCAAGATGATAATAATTGAGCTCTATTTTTTAGTCTGAAGTTAAATGATGCAGGAGTCTATGTAGAATGCCCTTGTGCTTATTTTGCAAAATAACTATAGAGGAAGTACAGAAGTATAGAAGCTTGATGAAATCATTGTTTCCTCTGCACAATTAAGTTCATCTTGGATCCAAGAAGGTGGGTCATCAAAACTCCAGGATAAAAGCATGACTCTTATGGTACCACAAGTGTTACATCTAGTGACTTTTTCCAAATCACAGTTTCCCTTATCCATTGTGATAGTACTGTAGCTGTTTCTTCTCTTTCTGGAACCTGAAAAGGCACAAATTGGATAAAGTCTACAGAACACATAATTTTTCAGTAAGTGTCATTCTGTAACATCTCTATTATTACTTGGATCCTCAGATCTTATCTGGATCCAATGGAAAATTGCAAAACATTGCTGCCTAGAAAATTCTGACACTTACATGGGTATGTAACTAGGGTAGTTAAGAAAGGACAGAGGAAGCTTAATGCAACTATTGATCATTTTCAACTTTTTTGAAACTAATCAATTGATATAGCAATCATGTCATATGCAGTAAGAAACCATCCTAAATTCTCAATGTCTTACAGCAGTAAATATTATTTCTCCCTCACATTTTCTGGTATCTGAGCATGGAATAATGATGTCAAGACCATGTCACATCATGGCAATCAGGAAGTAGAGAAGGAGAGTGCCTGTGCTGGGGGCATGTCCTTTTCCCTGGCTCATAGTAAGTCTTTCTCCTTAGTTAACTAAGCCTGGTCTTGCCCCATCATGTGACCTCAGAATAGCCATAGAAATGCAGGCTAACACACATTACCTGTTGCTTGCCTCAGCAGTACAAATACTAAACTTGGAATACTACATGGCAGATTAAAAGAGCCCATCCCAAGACATAAAGTATGACAGTACTGATGGGAATATAGATAAACTTGTATTGTGTGTTTGATTTATTGTACATGAATGTTGAATGATATATGATATATAAAAGTCCCATTGACTATCTGACTAGGAGGAACAAATATTCATTAAATTTCATCACATTGACTCATTAAACACACAAGCAGTTATCATGTTTAAGATCCTGGGATGTGTGCTGAGCCTAGGAGATAAGACACAGCTCATCCTCTTAATGACCTATGACATGTGCAAATCACATGTAGCTGTTTAATAGTATAAAATACATTGAATTGAGGAAGGTGCAAAATATGATAGAATCACAAGCAGCAAGCAGAATTACAGAAGAGCATCCAAGAAAACTGCATATCTTATCTCTTGAATATTGATGGAAATGTTTGTAACTGTAAAACAAACAAGGGATGAGCTGACCAGGGATGTGGCTGAGATACAGCAGAATATTCCCAGCATAGGAAATGACGGGTATACAGATATGCATTCACAAATTGACTTAATCCATCAGAAAATTTCTGGCCCTTGTAAGCCATGATATAGGGATATCTGCCAGGGACCATGAAATGACCAATGCAGATATGCACAATAAATTCCAAAGGAAATCACCTTTAAACATAGACCTAATAGATGTATAGAAGTGAATTAGATTTCAAAAGAGGAAGAGAATAGGATAGCAGGAATGTACGCCTGAGGAATAAGGGAGGGAGGGTGTGATAACTCATGCAGGTTTAAATTAAGGCCAGTGTAATGACTAGAGAACAGTACAGGGAAGCAGTCTTACTCAAGGAGCATTTTTTAAAGCTATGTCAACATGGAAATGATGGGATTTGTTAAAGAGCTGATTTCCAAAAAAGGATGCAAATGTATTTGCAGTTTAGATCACACTGGGAGCAGTACATAGATCCTGTAGATGGAAGGAAAACTCTATATAAGGTGCCAAGACAAGAACTGGAATACTAAACAAATGCTAATCATATAATTAATTGCATATGTAACTACTATGTGCTGAACACCTTCCATGTGCCAGACATTTGTGTAAACCATCCATAATTTTTACAATAGCTAGATACAGGTGTATAATAGATACAGGTGTATAATATATACAGGTGTGTAATAGATACAGGTGTGTAATAGATGTAATAGATACAGGTGTGTAATAGATACAGGTGTATAATGCCTCTATCTATTGTCCTCATGGAACTGATCCAGAAGATGTAGAGTCACAAATAAAAATAGTTTACGATGAATAAGTACAAGTTGTTCTAACTTTAAGATCTTGGTGATTTTCCCTTAAATAAAATTTTGAAGAAGTATGGAATATATTCAAGAAATTGCATTGATGGTAGTTAGTTAGTTAGTGCCTGATTAGAAATTGGTGTGGTTCAGGATGTTTTCTGGTTGGGTCCTGTGTGAAAGATGACTCAAACGTTAACATTTACATTAAATGAGGAAGAGCACTAATAAGGAAAGCAGTGGAAATATCACTAAATAGCTTGCTTATTTGGAAGGATTTCTGTATGAAAAATTGTTGGTAA